GCCATGTGCAACTCAAGTCACTTTAAAGAAAATGTATGCAGAAAGAAATGGAAAGATTCAGACAAGAGCATATATAGACCTAAAGAACATAGAGAGGAAACTGCCAGGATAAATTGAAAAACTTGCTTTGTCAAACCCAATCTTTCATATCAAACAAGAGTTGCATTTATAAATTTGTTAGCTTACCTGGCCGACCCACTGACGAAGACCGCGAATGTGCTCCTCTACTTGCTCTGGAGTGAACAGCTCAATCAGTGAAACTCCCTTGATCTTTGACTTTCCGCTATTACACGCAGCCACAACACCCCCAGACTGTTCCGCATTCTCTTCTTTGGGTGCGCTTATTTCAGGCATACATATTGGTTTCTCTTGCTTTGGTAGACGAATAGTTTCACCATCCAATGCAGATCCTCCACCATGTCCTCCCATGGGGACATCTTTGCAAACAGGCTTTTCCAGCTCACGGGAAACTGGAAGAATCCTCCTCGAAGAATCAGAACTATCTGCATTCATAGTCATATCCGATCTGACAGTTTTGCAAACATCACTTTGGGGACTATCTTTCTCTTGCAAAACCATTGAAAAATGAGCTTTACTGACACCGGTAGATATTGTCTCTGGGAAGCCCTGTGCGTCAGGATAAGCAAATTGGGACGGTTTATCTACTTTTTGGCGCTTCAGAAAAGGCTGCAGATCATCAACAACAGATGGAGCTTCAGAGTCCCTTTCTCTAGAACCACGCATAGACTCAAAAGATTCCATATGTCCATCGTTTAAACTAGCTGAGCTAGGTTCAACTCTTTGGAGGAGGGCAAGTTTTTCTCTGTGTTTCTCCTTGAAGTTCTTGACAAAAACACAGACTGGGCATGCTTCATTCCCACAGTGCTTGTTATGATGAATCAATTTTCGGGTTTGAAGACAATATTGATATGCACAAGCAGGGGCCGTGCAGTAATTGACATGTTTCAATAGCGTTTTGGTAGCAAAACAATACTTGCTTTCACAGTTATCTTCCGCTGCATTGCATTTGCGTACATGTAGCAGGAACAAAAGCCACCGCCTCTGATTTTTATAATTTAGACCACAATCTCCATTCAGCTGTTTACTCAACATGTCCCTTCCTTCTGGAAGATGTGGAGCCTCATTTTGGTAGTTTGTAGACTCTCTTACAGACAAACTATCATTAGTAGCTTCATGCTGCATAGGAAATCTTTGACTTGAGTTTACCCCAAATTGTTCTTTCTCTCCGTTAGCATTTTTTGATATTTGTGTCAAGTTCTGCGAAGATGAATGCCACTGCCCCAGACCTGATACTGGCTGCACTCCAACTGAGAGGTTACCCAAATCTTTCCATTGTGATATCTGCTGCGTCTGATGAGTTTGTGGTGGGAAAGATGGAGAGACGTTTAGCTGGCTACTAGAAACTGGTGCACTCTGAGCACCAACATATTCGTGTTTGACAGAATTCTGCTTGTATTGGTTTTGAGATTTGGATGCTTCTACTTTATCTAGAGCCTGCAGCTGAAAAGCTTCATTGTAGTATTCCATGCGAGGTTCATGCTTAACTTGACTAACTAAATTTGAAGCTAGCTGAGATTGACGATAAGCATCATTGTTCAGTAAGTGCTTCTGTTGCTGGTGTTGACCATGATGAACTTGTTGGTTAAATTGATTTTCTAGTGGTTGATGACTCACCTGAGCCAAACTATCTTTAGAATTGGAAGAAGATTGGAAATTCCCATTCTCGAACTGATGAAGTAGTTGAGGTTTTAGCAATGAAGTGTTTTCCACTGCTTGTAGGCTTGATTGATTACTAGCGAAAGAAGCATCAACTCTCCGCATAGGATTCAAGCTCATTGAATTCATATCCCCAGCAGTTTCCATTGAGCCAGATGATGTTAGAACTCCATAGAGATTCCCAGACCCAAAAGTATCAGAGTTGCCCATTGAGTATCCTTCACATGACGAAAGCAACTTACAATTAGCATACCCCTATGAGTTACATACTCGTGAGAAGGATACCACTAATGGAGACAATCAAAATAGCATAAGATAAAAGGAAAATTAGAGAGATTTACTGTGCATATGTGACACCTGCAACTGTTCGACAGGCTGCTGCAAAGGTTGGGATAAAGTTGAAAAATGCGTAGAACTGTGGACACCTTCAGAACCCCTGGGCCCATTAGCAAGGTGTACATTGTTCCCGCTCATCCCTACACCAGCATTTTGAGGAATATTGATCATCCCAGACGCGTTCTGGTGCATATTTGGCCTGAAACCACCTCCAACCTGGTGACCAAGGTTACGATGCATATGATCATTTGAACCAGCAGGACGTTGCCTCTGCAGCTGAGATGGATTTCCAAAGTCAGACCCAACAGCCAGAAGCTTGCCACCATCCCTAGAATTTTCTTCATTTCGATGAGACTGATATACATCGGCATTAGCACTATTGTTAAATCCAGGAGTAGGAATCATCTGCCTAGTGTCATCAGAACTAATTGAAAATCCAGCAGGCAATTGCTGCCGATCATTAATTATTGCACCTGTCAAAATAAAGTGTATATTTTAAAGAATCAGGACAACTCTTTGTAGGGTCAAACTTACGGGTATATAGTAGAATCTAACATCATATCTCTTACTGATATTACCTCCATCTATGCGATTAGTTGGCAATAGCCTTCCGGTTTCATTTGTTGCATCTGATAAATTATTACTACTATTGAAGGTGCTCCTATCCACCATAGGGTTTGCCGTATAACTTTGACCCCATCCATGCGAAACCCCAGGTGTCTGAACCATCATACTGACTGCTGAGCCTGAAGGATTAGCACGGCGCTGATTCAAAAGTTGGTTCAGAGTAGATTCTATGCGAACCTCAAAACTTCGGAAATCTAAGTAATCCTCCTGCGAAAACAAAATACCATCAAGAACAGTTACCACCTGTATAACGTCAAAGCTTCTAGGAGTGATTCCAATCCTAGAACTATTTGCGACTACCTAGGAATATTTAACAAATTGTGACAATGAGAAGATCAAAACTGGACGAACCTTTGACTTGGCCGTTCTCAGCATTGTGTTCTCTAACCGTTTTGCAACCTCAAATAACTTTGCCTTCGAGGCATCATCACTCTTTGAAGGCTGCCTCTGTTGTAACCAAGCGTAGCTGTCGAGATTGGGAAATCACGTATAACTCAAATAAATAAATGTATTCGTCCATTCACACAAACTTTACAAAACATAAGAATATTGCAGACACTGTACAGTACTAAAGAATTACTGGGAATATAAAGCAAGCAAGAGCCATGACCAACACAGCAACAAGAGAAACAAACTTACATTCTGTTCAGCATCTCCTGCCTTGCTCTTATACCATCACGAGACGTGCCATTGGCGATATTAGGCTGAGAAGAAACACTAGAAGCAGAAACTGCAATAGAATTCTGCATCTGTCCTGGCTGAGGAACATTCCTATTCTGCCCCTGAGCCATTCTCAATAACAGAGAATGTGGAGCTAATTCCCTGAATCTATAGAGAATCCACTCTTCTCAATCTCTTTCTCGAGAAATACAGAACCCAAGAATCACTCTGCCTCGCCAAAGACACACGATCATCACCACGACAATAAGCTACAACAACGTGTAATAAAAACAGATTGAGTTCGACAATGCAGCACCAAAAGTATATAGAACAATCAGTATCAAAACGCATATAACACACAATATCCCCAGTTACACCAACTCGTGAATCACGCACGCGGCTTAAAAATAGAAACTTTATTATTTGAGGAAAAATTGTAAATTTCAACACCAACCCTAGCTCGAGATCGAACCCAATTTTAATGTGTTGTAGAACCAAACAAACCCTGTAATTG